CAGTTTTAAACCGGAGAAGGCTAAATTTCCTCCTCTTGCTTTTTCCCCACTCTTGGAGTAAAACAACTACTTTCAAAGTAAAGAACACCCAATGAAACAAGAAATAACACTTTCAAACCATTAACGAAAGGATTCAGAAGTCTCGGAAGTTTCAAAAAGTTTTGAACAGTTTTTTTCTGTGAAAATCAGAATTAGAATCGAACCACCAGTGCCCCCTACATCCCCCTACATTTCTCAAACAAGCCTAGTATCTTTTAACTTAGCCTATTCCACTTTTTAGTCCCTAAGGGGCAAGCATCAGCAATGACAAGAGATGGAGATATCACTACAGTTAAGGTTCTAATGGCAAGCACAGGGACAACAGTGTCTAAGCATTGAGGGAAACACTGGTTTAAAACCCCAGTATTGTGCTTGAGGGGTGAGGAAAATGGAGTCATTATCCCACCTCTGTATGGGACGAGGATGTGAGTGGCAGTGGAAGAGGCAGTAGATCCTTGTGTCTCACATCAAGAGTATAATCACAAGCATTTCCTGTTTTTTTTCTTTCACATTGCAGATTCTGTCAATACCAGGCCTTCCTTCAGGTGGTGAAAGAGCTAAACGACTTTGCCGGCCAGCGAGAGATCGTTGCAGAGAACCTTCTGACACGGATCTGCGTGGAGCTTGCCAAGTATTCACAGGAGCTCAAGCAGGAGAGGAAACTGGTAAAGAAATCCTAAGTTGTGCCAAATAACAATGCATCAAGGTTGTTAAGATCTTCTGGAGGGGCCCTGCTCTCGGTCCCACCTTCTTCGCAATCGCGTTTGGTGGGGACGAGGGACAGGGCCTTCTCGGTGGTGGCCCCTCAGCTCTGGAACTCTCTCCCGTTAGAGATTAGATCTGCCCCTTCCCTCCTGACTTTCAGAAAGCTGGTAAAATCTTGGCTTTGGAATATAGCATTTGCAGAATGATGATTGAGTCAATAACGGCTGACCACACTGGCGGATGGTGATGAATTTGTGATTTTACTCTGACGACCTGGCTTTTGTAATTGTATGATCTGTATTTTAATGTATTTTTGTATTAATGTATTATGATGCTATTATGTTTATTCTATGTGTGTATGAATTTTCTGCTGTTAGCCGGCCTGAGTCCCTCTTCGGAGGTCGAGAAGACCGGGTTATAAAAGCTCTAAATAATAAATAAATAAATAAATAAATAAACTAAACCTATTATGTGAGTTTTCTTTTTCCTTTTTTAGGGTCCTTTTTTTGGGACCTGAATTTTAAAAAAAATTTTTTTTTTAATTTTTTAGTACAATTTTCCTACTTTCCTATCTTCTTGAAAATATTCACCCTCTTTCCTTGTACTCTATACTATCTCAATAAAATAAAAAAGTATTTCAAAAAAAATCATAATAAATAATAATAGCTACAAAATATCCAGAGTGAATCAGGAACAAATTGGGTCCTGATCGTTTTGCCCTTGGCTATAAGGAACAAAACTGTTAAAGTGTTCCTCTACATATTTCAATGCTACCCCCATTCTCACTGGCCAACCAACAGTTTGGAGATGTATTTGTGCCAGAGGGCTGGCATTCATATTGTGATGTAGAATCATAGAATAATAGAGTTGGAAGAGACCACATGGGCCATCAAGTCCAACCCCATTCTGCCATGCAGGAAAAGCACAAAGTGTCCATGACAGATCCAGCCTCTGTTTAAAAGCTTCCAAGGAAGGAGAGCCTTCTCTGCTGTGGCCCCTCGGCTCTGGAACTCACTGCCTGGTGAAATTAGGCAAGTCCCTACCTTGGCAGCTTTTATTTATTTATTTGTTTATTTATTTATTTATTTATTAGGCTTGTATACCGCTACTCCCAATTTGGCTCGGAGCGGTTTACAGCAGTAGATTAAAACAATACAATTAACTTTAAAATACAATAAAAACAAGAACAGACATAGTCCCGAGTTATTCACCCATCGAAAGCTTGTCGGAAGAGAAAGGTTTTACAGGCTTTCCGAAAAGCAAGTAGGTCTCGGATAGATCGGGTTTCAACTGGCAAGGCATTCCATAAATAAGGGGCCACAATCGAGAAGGCTCTCTGCCTAGTCGAGGACAGATGATAAGTCCGGATGTTGGGGACTTCAAGCAAATTTTGGTCTTCGGACCGAAGTAATCTCTGGGGTTGGTAGGGGGATAAGCGGGCCCTCAGGTACGCCGGCCCCAGACCATATAAGGCCTTAAAGGTTAGTACCAGCACCTTGAAAGTAATCCGGTACTCAATCGGAAGCCAGTGCAGCTGTTGTAGAATTGGGGTGATACGACACCTCGCCGGCACCCCGGCGAGAAGACGAGCCGCCGCATTTTGCACCAGCTTCACTTTCCAGATCACTGACAAAGGAAGACCAATGTAGAGGGCGTTACAGTAGTCAAGCCTCGAGATGACCGTTGCCTGGATCATCGTAGCCAGGTCGTTCCTAGATAGGAAGGGAGCCAGTCGCCTAGCCTGACGTAGATGGAAAAATGCAGATCTGCTCAAAGCAGAGACCTGGGCCTCTATTGTGAGCAGAGGGTCCAATAAGACACCAAGACTTTTTACAGAAGATGACGGACGTTGTGTCTCGCCATCCAGGGTAGGCAGCTGGATCTCCCTCCCACCCAGACGGCTCAGCCAAAGGATCTCTGTCTTCACTGGATTCACCCTCAACCTGCTGGCACACAACCATCCAGTAACGACCTCAAGGCACTGATGGAAATTTTCGGGTACAGAGTCCGGCCGGCCCTCCATCCTCAGAATGAGCTGAGTGTCATCAGTGTACTGGTGGCACTCAAGCCCAAAGCTCCGCACCAGTCGGGCAAGCGGTCGCATATAGATGTTAAATAATAGAGAGAATAGCTCCCTGCGGGACCCCGCAAGTTAGCAGAGATCTCTCGGAAACCCTCCCTCCCCTCGCCACACGCTGTCCCCGATTCTGGAGGAAGGAGGAAACCCATTTAAGGGGTATCCCCCTAACCCCAGTCATGGCTAGGCGGTGGGTCAATAGATTGTGATCGACCGTATCAAATGCTGCTGTGAGGTCCAATAACACAACTACTGCTCCGTCCTCATGAGGCACTTTCCCCCCGCCCTTGTTTTTGTTGTTCATTCGTTCAGTCGTTTCCAACTCTTCGTGACCTCATGGACCAGCCCATGCCAGAGCTCCCTGTTGACAGCAATTCAGGAAAAAAGACATAAATATTATAGCTAGACAGCATAATCTTAAACAGCAAGCCTAATCAATATAAATATATCATGTAGAAGCCTAAGCACTCTTTGGCATCTCAACTGTTTGCTCTATCACTTTTAGTGCAGGTGGTGGGCATGGTGGGCAAGCAACACTTGTTGAAATTCTGTCTTTGAGCATCTATTAATTTTACAAAAGCCCTATCTTGTTTTTTGCTTGATGACTAGATGCTAATAAATTTGGCCCTTTTTCTTTCATAGGTATTTTAAAAATTCTGGTGAAATATTTTGTTCACAAAGAATATTTGAAGTATTGAGTGGTCCAACATTAAGCTAAGTTTTTTTAATGTAAAGGAAGCCTGTTAGCAATGACTATGCTGATTCCTGAACATGTAGGTAGCTTGTGGATCTTTTTGAGGTACAACTGTACAATGGTGAGATATGAGGATCTAGGTGACTTCCCTTGGACATAAGCTCCTGTCATTAAAATATATCAGTTTGAGGACAGTCATCTTCCTTCAATACGAGCATGCACTAATTTCGATAATAATAATAATAATAATAATAATAATAATAATAATAATAATAATAACACTTTATTTGTACCCCGCTACCATCTCCCCAAGGGACTCGGTGCGGCTTACATGAGGCCGAGCCCAAACACAATACAAGCAATAATAACAACAGTACAAGCAATTAAAAACACATAAACAATAAGATACACAACATTATCAATAAACAACACATAATTAAAAACAGTGGGAAGGCCAAATTTAGAGTTAAAATTGGAAATAATGCTGGGACATGAAGGTGATACTGGTGTTTGTGGAAGGGCATACGAGCAGACTTAAAGAAATGTAAAGTGCTTTGGAGGACAAAGTGCTATGGGGTCATTATTCCGGGAAGGCACACTGGAACAGCCACGTCTTCAAGTTCTTCCTGAAGACTGCCAGAGTTGGGGCCTGTCTGATGTCTTTAGGGAGTGAGTTCCAGAGTCGAGGGGCCACCACCGAAAAGACCCTCTCTCTCGTCCCCACCAATCACGCCTGCGATGCTGGTGGGATTGAGAGCAGGACCTCTCTGGATGATCGAAGGGATCGTGTGGGTTCGTAAACAGAGATGCGGTCACGCAGGTAGGCAGGTCCCAAACCGTTCAGGGCTTTGTAGGTAAGAACCTGCACCTTGAATTGGGTCCGGTAGATGAATGGCAGCCAGTGGAGCTCCTTGAACAGGAGGGATGACCTCTCCCTGTAAGGAGCCCCAGTTAACAACCTGGCTGCCGCCCGTTGGATCATCTGAAATTTCAGGGCCGTTTTCAAGGGCAGTCCCACGTAGAGTGCATTGCAGTAATCCAGTCTAGAGGTGACTAAGGCGTGGACCACCTTGGCCAGATCCGCCTATCCGAGGTACGGTCGCAGTTGGCGCACGAGTCTTAGTTGTGCAAAGGCCTTCCCGGCCACCACTGATGCCTGAGCCTCAAACGTAAGTGAAGAATCCAGGAGGACCCCCAAACTGCGAACCTGTGACTTCAAGGGGAGTGCAACCCCGTCCAGCACAGGTTGCCACCCTATACCCCGGTCTGGTTTACGATCAACCAGGAGGACCTCTGTCTTGTTGGGATTAATCTTTAGCTTGTTCGTCCTCATCCAGACAGCTACAGCGGTGAGGCACTTGTCTAGCACTCGAGGGGCTTCCTTGGAGTTAGGTGGAAAACATTTGGTGGGGATCTAAAAATCATACTGAAATTCTTCTGATGAAAACTTCCATTTCATTTCTTTTTCTTTCCTTCTTTTCCTAGCACTTGCAAGAAGGCCGAAGGGCTCAACAGCAGCTGGAGAACTCCTTTAAGCAACTTGAAAATGTGAGTTTCTCCAAATTTTGCACGTGTGTTTTCAACGTTAGCCTAATTCTGGACACAGTGGACATAAACTTGGAGGGACGGTAACATTGGAAGGCCTAAAACTATTTCTATTGATTTGGCCAATGTTCAGAGTAGGAACACAGCTGTGGATGTCATTGTTCCCCATAGAATTCTTCAAGCATTTCATGGACGGGGATGTGACGAAAGCACAGAAAGGAGTTTTTTATTCCAAAGATGTTTCCTCTATCCAGGCTTTAAAACGACCTTTGGGATTGGTGGGTGTGGCCAAGGGAAGAGAATAGAAAAGTTCACATCTTGTGTAAAGCAAGCACTATAGCTTGACTTTAGGCCTTGGCCACAGAGTACCATATATGATCTTTGGATGTTTCCAAGAACCTCTTAGCTGTGTTGTTGAGGGCTTTCATGGCCGGAATCACTGGGTTGCAATGAGTTTTTGGTGAGTAGGTATACAACCTCATTGGAGTATACGTCCCCCCTCCTCTTGTGGGAAAGTTTGATTCCACAACCCCCATTTTAATGAGCCCTCCCCCTCCGCAAATAACCTGCTTCTCCTTTTTCTCTCCTGAGTTTTTAATCAGTTTTTAATTAGTTTTTCTTCTAATCATTACATGTAGCCCGCCCATTGTCACTGTGATTGTGTTTATTGTAATTTTATATCGTTATGTTTATTGTATTGTGGAAAGATGAGAGCATAGGTTCTTGTGGGTTTTTTCGGGCTATAGGGCCATGTTCTAGAGGCATTTCTCCTGACGTTTCGACTGCATCTATGGCAAGCATCCTCAGAGCCAGCCATTCCACAGATATATAAACCCATGGTCCTAATTCCAACAGACCTCACTACCTCTGAGGATGCTTGCCATAGATGCAGGCGAAACGTCAGGAGAAATGCCTCTAGAACATGGTCCTATAGCCCGAAAAAACCCACAAGAACCTAGTTATGTTTATTGTTTGCATTTTCAGTTTTATTTTGCTGTAATTTGTTGTTTGGGCTTGGCCTCATGTAAGCTACCCCGAGTCCCCATCGGGGAGATGGTGGCGGGGTATAAATAAAGATTATTATTATTATCATTATTATTATTATTATTACTTTACACAAAAGCACAGTATGTCACAGCAAATGAGATCTATATGCTGGATTTCATATCACAAAATCACAAGTCGAATACTTCCCAAGCGTCTAGGACTGTGTGATATATTTTCGAATGATGCATGCAGATCTGCCTTTTGCAGTTGACAGATCGTTATTATTATTATTATTATTATTATTATTATTATTATTATTATTAGGGTTGTGGACAATCAAGAACAAAAATTAGGAAGATCACATAGACAATAAAGTTGAACCCGTGTAGGATTAGAAGGAAGTCACAAGATTTGTATTTTTTCATTTTTATTTTCACTTTTATCTTTAATATAATTATATATGTGTGTGTGTGTCCTTTTTTGTCTTTTTTCTTTTTCTTTTTCTTCTCTTTTTTTCCCCTTTTTCTTCTTCACCTCCTCTTGCTTTCCCACTTTTCTTCAAAATACTATGTTCTCCCACTTTACTTGGAAATTATACTTTTTTTCTTTATCTATATAAATAAAAATGTAATGTTAGTTCGTGCTACCATCAGAACTCAAAAACCACTGGGGGAATTGACACCAAATTTGGACACAAGACACCTAACAGTCCAATTTATGTCCTCCACTCAAAAAAATTGATTTTGTCATTTGGGAATTGTCATTGCTGGGATTTATAGTTTACCTACAATCAAAGAGCATTCTGAACTCCACCAATGATGGAATTGGGCCAAACTTAGCACACAGGGCTCCCATGACCAACAGAAAAAACTGGAAGTTTGGTGGACATTGACCTTGAGTTTGGGAATTATAGTTCACCCACATCCAGAGAGCACTGTGGACTCAAACAATGATGGATCTGGACCAAACCTGGCACGAATATTCCATATGCCCAAATATGAACACAGATGGAGTTTAAGGGAAATAGACCTTGACATTTGGGAGTTGTAGTTGCTGGGATTTATAGTTCACCTACAATCAAAGAGCATTCTGAACTCCACCAATATGGAATTCAACCAAACATGGCATACAAGACTTCCATGACCAACAGAATACACTGGAAGGGTTTGGTGGGCATTGACCTTGAGTTTGGGAGTTGTAGTTCACCTACATCCAGAGAGCACTGTGGACTCAAACAATGATGGATCTGGACCAAACTTGACACAAAAATTCCATATGCCTAAATATGAACACAGATGGAGTTTGGAGGAAATAGACCTTGACATTTGGGATTTGTAGTTACTGGGATTTATGGTTCACTACAATTAAAGAGCATTCTGAAACCCACAAACGACAGAAATGCGGCCAACTTCCCACACAGAACCCCCATGACCAACAGAAAATACTTAAGGCCATCCAGTCCAACTCTCTTCACCAGGGCAAGAAAATGTAATCAGAGCCCTCCTGACAAAGAGCCATCCAGTCATAAATATAGATAGATAGATATGATTCACACACACACAGATATAGTATCATAGATTTGAAAGAGACCCTTAAAGAAGGACTATGAAATGTTGCATATTCCAGAGTAGGCAAACTAGACATTCTCCACATCAACACTGACAAAGAAACAACAAGAAATACTGTTTACTCACAAGCATAAAGGGATTACATATATTAGAAACCAACACTTTCTCATTACTTTATTTTCCAGATCACCAGACCGGGCCACAGCAACGTGTGGCAGGGGACTGCTAGTACCAAATAAAAATTTATTTTTTAAAAAAGAACAACAGGACATTGAGAAAAATAATGGATGTCTTTCTCTTCATAGTTTAATTATGTACGTTGGTAAAGTGTCCCTTAGATATTTGTTTGCGCACCTTTGCTTTGTGTTCACACAAGCAGAACTAATAAGCTTCTCTCCACCCACTCCTTGAGTAAATGTTTGCTTATGTCTATAGATTGTAATTCTGCAAGCTTCTCTTCTCTTATTTGAAGTACTTTATGTTTGTTGTTATTTCTATGATGCTTTAAAAGCAAAGTCAGCAGCCTTTGCCATTTTTTCTATTCCAGCTCATATTTAGAAGCCCAAATTGGCTAATCAAATAGTTTGCTTATTTTGGGGAGTGTTGATTCCTATCTGTGCTGTGGAGATTAATCACATAGGTTTGAGTGATGCAAGGCACTGAGGGCTGAATTGACAGTATAAGTGTGTGATCCCATTATTGCGTCTCACTCGGACTACCATTTTCCCCGCAGAGCAAACGCAAGTTTGAGCGCGACTGCAGGGAGGCTGAGAAAGCTGTCCTGACAGCTGAAAAACTGGACCAGGACATCAATGCCACCAAGGCAGATGTGGAGAAGGTCAGAGTTTCCCCAGAAAGAGGTGGCATTTCCAACTTCCTTGGTGTTTAGCAGACCCCAGAAGTAATTTTGCATTGAAAGTTGAGACCAGTCTTCAGAATTCCTTGTGCTGATGCCCAGTAATGGAGCTCTGTTCATTTGATCATACATACATACATACATACATACATACAATGGTGAATGACATAGACAAAAAGTAAACATATTTATTTATTTGTCGTGTCAGAACAACCAGTCAAATTATGTTACATTTCTAACAGAACAAAGCAAGCAAGCAGGTTACAAAATTTGTGAGTATGAGAGTTGATTAAATGTCCTTTGACCAGTATCTGGCCACTTGGAGTGCTTCTGGTGTTGCTGCAAGAAGGTCCTCCATTGTGCATGTGGCAGGGCTCAGGTTGCATTGCAGCAGGTGGTCAGTGGTTTGCTCCTCTTCACACTCGCATGTCGAGGATTCCACTTTGTAGCCCCATTTCTGAAGGTTGGCTCTGCATCTCGTGGTGCCAGAGCGCAGTCTGTTCAGTGCCTTCCAAGTCGCCCAGTCCTCTGTGTGCCCAGGGGGGAGTCTCTCATTTGGTATCAGCCATTGGTTGAGGTTCTGGGTTTGAGCCTGCCACTTTTGGACTCTCGCTTGCTGAGGTGTTCCAGCGAGTGTCTCTGTAGATCTTCGAAAACTATTTCTTGATTTAAGTCGTTGACGTGCTGGCTGATACCCAAACAGGATGAGCTGGAGATGTCTCTGCCTTGGTCCTTTCACTATTGGCTGCTACTTCCCGGCGGATGTCAGGTGGTGCAATACTGGCTAAGCAGTGTAATTTCTCCAGTGGTGTAGGGCGCAGACACCCCGTGATAATGCGGCATGTCTCATTAAGAACCACATCCACTGTTTTAGTGTGGTGAGATGTGTTCCACACTGGGCATGCATACTCAGCAGCAGAGTAGCACAGCGCAAGGGCAGATGTCTTCACTGTATCTGGTTGTGATCCCCAGGTTGTGCCAGTCAGCTTTCGTATGATATTGTTTCTAGCACCCACTTTTTGCTTGATGTTCAGGCAGTGCTTCTTGTAGGTAAGAGCACGGTCCAGAGTGACTCCCAGATATTTGGTGCGCTGCAATGCTCCAGTGGGATTCCTTCCCAGGTGATCGTCAGAGCTAGGGATGCTTGTCTGTTCTTGAGATGAAAGGCACATGTCTGTGTTTTAGATGGATTAGGGATCAGCTGGTTTTCCCTGTAATAGGCAATAAGAGCGCCTAGAGCTTCGGAAAGCTTCTGTTCTACCATCTCAAAGCTCCCTGCTTGAGTAGTAATGGCACGATCATCAGCGTAGATGAAACTCTCTGTCCCTTCTGGCGGTGGCTGGTCATTTGTGTAGATGTTGAACATGGATGGGGCAAGCACGCTCCCCTGAGGCACAGTAAACATAGACGGATGTTGACAATACAATGAGAAATACAGGAGCAGAATTCAAAACAATCTTGACAGACTAGAGAGATGGGCCAAAACTAACAAAATGAAGTTCAACAGTGACAAATGCAAGATACTCCACTTTGGCAGGAAAAACAAAGATACAGAATGGGGGACAATGCCTGGCTCGAGAGCAGTACATGTGAAAAAAATCTTGAGTCCTCGTGGACAACAAGTTAAACATGAGCCAACAATGTGATGTGGCGGCAAAAAAAGCCAATGGGATTTTGGCCTGCATCAATAGGAGCATAGTGTCTAGATCTAGGGAAGTCATGCTACCCCTCTATTCCACTTTGGTTAGACCACACCTGGAATATTGTGTCCAATTCTGGGCACCACAATTCAAGAGAGATATTGACAAGCTGGAATGTGTCCAGAGGAGGGCGACTAAAATGATCCAAGGGTCTGGAGAACAAGCCCTATGAGGAGCGGCTTAAGGAGCTGGGCATGTTTAGCCTGAAGAAGAGAAGGCTGAGAGGGGATATGATAGCCATGTATAAATATGTGAGAGGAAGCCACAGGGAGGAGGGAGGAAGCTTGTTTTCTGCTTCCCTTGTGACTAGGATGTGGATCAATGGCTTCAAACTACAAGAGAGGAGATTCCATCTGAACATAGGAAGAACTTCCTGACCTGTGAGAGCCGTTTCAGCAGTGGAACTCTCTGCCCCGGAGTGTGGTGGAGGCTCCTTCTTTGGAAGCTTTTAAACAGAGGCTGATGGCCATCTGTCAGGGGTGATTTGAATGCAATATTCCTGCTTCATGGTAGGGGGTTGGACTGGATGCTCCGATTGATGCAGGCCAATCCCATTGGCTTTTTTTGCCGCCACATCACATTGTTGGCTCATGTTTCACTTGTTGTCCACAAGGACTCCAAGATCTTTTTCACATGTACTGCTCTCAAGCCAGGCGTCCCCCATTCTGTATCTTTGCATTTCGTTTTTTCTGCCTAAGTGGAGTAGCACTTGTCCACCCCTATCTCCAACAGTCAAGAGTTCTCTGTCCTTTCCTGCTGTTGAATCTAAGCAGATCTAGCCCTGTAAGGAGGCTGCTTGGGCTCAAAGTGTAAATTGTTTCAATCTGTTTGGAAAAATATCACAGTGTACAGTCAGTTCTTCACATTTGTTGGGACTGGAGCACACAAAGGTGAAAAGTTGCAAATAATAAAATTGCTGTATTGTTGAAGGCTTTCATGGCTGGAATCACTGGGCTGTTGTAGGTTTTTTCGGGCTATATGGCCATGTTCTAGAGCAGGGGTCGTCAAACATTTTAAACAGAGGGCCATGTCACAGTCCCTCAAAATGTTGGAGGGATGGATTATAATTTGAAAAAAAAACATGAATTAATTCCCATGCACACATCTTATTTATAATGCAAAAAAAAAAACACTTAAAAACAATAGAATAATTAAAATGAAAAACAATTTTAACAAATATAAACTTATTAGTATTTCATTGAGAAGTGTGGGCCTGCTTTTGGCTGATGAGATAGGATTGTCGTTGTTGTTGTGTGCTTTCAAGTCGTTTCAGACTTAGGTTGATCCTGAGCGAGGGCCGGTAAATGACCTTGGAGGGCCGCATCCGGCCCCTAGGCCTTAGTTTGAGGACCCCTGCTGTATAGTTTACTGTGACATTATCATCCCAATAATCTATTTTTAAAATCTTTTCCAGGCAAAGCAGCAGGCCAATCTACGTAGCCACATGGCTGAGGAGAGCAAGAATGAATACGCTTCATATCTGCAGAAATTCAACCACAATCAGAGCCAATTCTACTTCCTGGAGATGCCACAGATCTTCAATGTATGCCTTTTAAATAGCTTCTACTTTTTCTTTAGACATGGTTTTGCTCCTTCTCTACACTAAGAAGTCCCTCAAGGCAACTTGCAACAAACCCCAAAGTCATAATAAAATAGTAATTTCAAGTCAGTTTTGCACTGCGATCTTAAAATATCACAAATGTAGAGTGAAAGTACAAAATCCTCTAGCAAAACAGCCAGAGAGGAAATGGAATCAGTAAACCCCAAGTTAGCAGGGCTCATAAATCCCTCTGGAGCTACCCTTATAGCAGAAGAAATTCTCCATGGGTATTTTCAAATGTTGTTAGACTCTCAGTCCATGACAGCTTTCTTTGTTCATAAATCCATCCTGGACTACTGCAATCCTTCATCTCAAGGAAAGCTTCTCTCATCTGAGGAAAAGATTCCAAGTGTCATAAGAGTTTGACTCTTTTCATCTGTCAATGTTCCGCTTTGAGGAAAGTGAAAAAGAAGATGGACATTCCCCTTGGTTTGGTTTCAGGACAGTTCTGAGGTGTTACACGAAAGAAGGTGGAAGTCACCTTACTTTTCCTTAGGTCTCTTTCATTAACTTTCCTTCCCAATAGACTTTGCCCCCCCCCCCCCAAATTCTGTTAAGACTATCAAATAATTAAAATTGTTTTAAATTGATGTAACCATCTCTTTTCAAACTGGTTATATGAAGACTCCAGCAATACATGGAGCGAGACTTGCCAGATGTACAAGCTGGGTTTAGAAAAGGCAGAGGAACGAGAGACCAGATTGCCAATATCCGCTGGATAATGGAGAAAGGCAGGGAGTTTCAGAAAAACATCTACTTCTGCTTCATTGACTATTCTAAAGCCTTTGACTGTGTGGATATAATAAATTGTGGCAAGTTCTTGGTGGGATGGGCATCCCAAGCCACCTTGTCTCTCTCCTGAGGAATCTGTACAAGGACCAAGGAGCAACAGTACGAACTGACCACGGAACAACAGACTGGTTCAAGATTGGGAAAGGCGTACGGCAGGGTTGTATACTCTCACCCAACCTATTCAACTTGTATGCAGAACACATCATGCGATGTGCGGGGCTTGACAAATGCAAGGCTGGGGTGAAAATTGCTGGAAGAAACATTAACAACCTTAGATATGCAGATGACACCACTTTGATGGCCGAAAGCGAGGAGGAGCTGAGGAGCCTTCTAATCAAGGTGAAAAAAGAAAGTGCAAAAGCTGGGTTGCAGTTAAACATCACAAAAGCCAAGATTATGGCAACAAGAATGATTGACAACTGGGAAATAGAGGGAGAAAACGTGGAGGGTTTGCATTTCTAGGTGCAAAGATGACTACATAGAATCATAGAATCAAAGAGTTGGAAGAGACCTCATGGGCCATCCAGTCCAACCCCCTGCCAAGAAACAGGAATATTGCATTCAAATCACCCCTGACAGATGGCCATCCAGCCTCTGTTTAAAAGCTTCCAAAGAAGGAGCCTCCACCACACTCCGGGGCAGAGAGTTCCACTGCTGAACGGCTCTCACAGTCAGGAAGTTCTTCCTCATGTTCAGATAGAATCTCCTTTCTTGTAGTTTGAAGCCATTGTTCCATTGTGTCCTAGTCTCCACAGAAAACAAGCTTGCTCCCTCCTCCCTGTGGCTTCCTCTCACATATTTATACATGGCGATCATATCTCCTCTCAGCCTTCTCTTCTTCAGGCTAAACATGCCCAGCTCCTTAAGCCGCTCCTCATAGGGCTTGTTCTCCAGACCCTTGATCATTTTAGTTGCCCTCCTCTGGACACATTCCAGCTTGTCAATATCTCTCTTGAATTGTGGTTCCAGAATTAGACACAATATTCCAGGTGTGGTCTAACCAAAGCAGAATAGAGGGGTAGCATTACTTCCCTTAGATCTAGACACTATGCTCCTATTGATGCAGGCCAAAATCCCATTGGCTTTTTTTGCCGCCACATCACATTGTTGGCTCATGTTTAACTTGTTGTCCACGAGGACTCCAAGATCTTTTTCACACGTACTGCTTTCAAGCCAGGCATTGTCCCCCATACAGACGCAGACTTCAGCCAGGAAATCAGGAGACGCTTACTTCTTGGGAGGAGAGCAATGTCGAATCTCGATAAAATAGTAAAGAGTAGAGGCATCACACTGGCAACAAAGATCCGCATAGTTAAAGCAATGGTATTCCCCATAGTCACCTATGGATATGAGAGCTGAACCATAGGGAAGGCTGACTGAAGGAAGATAGATGCTTTTGAACTGTGGTGCTGGAGGAAAGTTCTGACAGCGAGAAGATCCAACCAGTCCATACTTCAGGAAATAAAGCCCAACTGCTCATTGGATGGGAGGATATTAGAGGCAAAGATTAAGTACTTGAAGAGAAATGAACGCTTAGAGAAGACAATTATGCTGGGGGAAATGGAAGGAAAAAGGAAGAGGGGCCGACCAAGGGCAAGATGGATGGATGGAATCCTTGAAGTGACTGGATTGACCTTGAAGGAGCCGAGGGTGGTGACGGCCGACCGGGAGCTCTGGTGTGGGCTGGTCCATAAGGTCACAAAGAGTCAGAACCGACTGAACGAATGAACAATAACATATGGAACTGGCTTCCTAAGTAGGAACCTTTTTGAGATACCAAAAACGCAAGAGTTAGTAACCTGTGTTTTTCATGTTTTCCTTGTCTGATTTACTGACCCACAGTATTCCCTGCCCCCAGCTGATGAATTTGCTACAGCAGCAGATGTGGCGGTGGCTTTTTGGTGGACAAAGTTGGGTTGGAGTTGACAGGAGTCAGTGCTATTGCTGACCCACAAGAGCATGAGTACCCCTTCTGTCACATCCACTTAATAAATAAATCAGAGTTACGAATCATAAATAAGATAGGTCTGTTTTGAAAGATCTTTTGATGCTTTTTCCATTGCAGATTGAAAAATAAACAAGTCTGTTCGTGGTCTAGCCAATCAAAATGTGTCCTCGCCAGTTTAAAGTCTGCCCATACCAATTATGTCTTTACAGATTGCAGTCCAATGAATGCAACACTAAGCAGTAGACACTTGATAAACTCAAATCATCCAATTAGGAAAATTGCTCCAACCTGTTCCTGCTTGTGCTAGATCACTCCTTAGCATGTGATTCTCTTTCTCTTTCCCTCTCAATTTGCTCTTCTTGCTGTCTTCCCCAAAATATTGTACTGGTATGTGGATTACCACATACTTGCATTTAACATATCACCACTAGGTTCAACAAAAAGCAATGTTTGAGGCAGAGGAGAGATTTAGTTCAAAAGTTCAGTTGTAGTTTAAAGGGTTTTTGGAATGAGGGGACGAATTACTGTCAATATATATATTTTTGAATTGTAAGATTTATGCAATGTGATTCAGTGCTTTATAACAGGGCTTCTCAAACTAAGGCCCGAGGGCCAGATACGGCCCTCCAAGGTCATTTATCAGGCCTTCGCTCAGGGTCAACCTAAGTCTGAAACTACTTGAAAGTACACAACAACAACAATCCTATCTCATCAGCCAAAAGTAGGTCCACACTTCCCATTGAAATTTATTTATTTATTTATTTATTCAACGTGTCAGGGCAACCAGTCGATTATATTACATTTCTAACCAGAGGTGGCCCTAGGTAATTTTCAAAGGTAAGCAAACAGTATTTTGGCGCCCCGCCCCCCCCCCCAACCAATCATTGATATATATTTTCTGTTTGTCGTGGGAGTTCTGTGTGCCATATTTGGTTCAATTCCATCATTGGTGGAGTTCAGAATGCTCTTTGATTGTAGGTGAACTATACATCCCAGTAACTACACTTGCCGCACTTGCTCCCTTGCCTGGCCCGCTTTGGGTCTAGAGGCGTGCCTGAAGACCAAAAGTGCACCAAAAGTCACCTCTTCTCCTGACTTTCTCCTCAGCCATTGGGACCGAGAGAGAGAGAGAGAGAGAGGTGGAGATGCCCACCTTTCCTGAAGGTAGGAGCAAAAACAAAGGAGGGAGCGGAGGTGGGAGATACCTCCAGCCGGAGGGGCTCTCTCTCTCTCTCTCTCTTGGTCCCAATGGCTGAAGAGAAAGTCAGAGGCGACTTTTGGTGCGCACGCCAGGGTCTTCAGGCACGCCTCCGGATCCGAAGCCCCTTTGGGAAGAGAATTGCACGGCAGCAAGGCAAGAAAGCCGAGGCTCCCCCCGGACTGCTAGGACTGTTGTGAGCTGAGCGGGCGCTCCTCAAGTGTCAGTCGAGGGGCATTTACAGAGGCGCCTCTGCGCCCCTGGCAAAAAAAAAGTGTTCTGCGACCGCTTACTTCGCGTAATGGACGAGATATTACATTTCTAACAGAACAAAGCAAACAGACAAAATACAAAATTTGTGATTTGGTAGTTGATTAAATGTCCTTTGACCAGTATCTGGCCACTTGGAGTGCTTCTGGTGTTGCTGCAAGAAGGTCCTCCATTGTGCATGTGGCAGGGCTCAGGTTGCATTGCGGCAGGTGGTCAGTGGTTTGCTACACTCGCATGTCGAGGATTCCACTTTGTAGCCCCATTTCTTAAGGTTGGCTCTGCATCTCGTGGTGCCAGAGCGCAGTCTGTTCAGCGCCTTCCAAGTCGCCCAGTCTTCTGTGTGCCCAGGGGGGAGTCTCTCATTTGGTATCAGCCATTGATTGAGGTTCTGGGTTTGAGCCTGCCACTTTTGGACTCTCGCTTGCTGAGGTGTTCCAGCAAGTGTCTCTGTAGATCTTAGAAAACTATTTCTAGATTTAAGTCGTTGACATGCTGGCTGATACCCAAACGGGATGAGCTGGAGATATCTCTGCCTTGGTCCCACTGAAATACTAATAAGTTTATACTTGTTAAAATTGTTATTCATTTTAATTATTGAATTGTTTTATAGTGGGTTTTTTTGCACTACAAATAAGATATGTCCAGTGTGCATAGGAATTCATTTTTTTCCAAATTATAATCCAGCCCTCCAACAGTTTGAGGAACTGTGACCTGGCCCTCTGTTTAAAAAATTTGAGGACCCCTGTTCTATAACATTTCAACAAGAGAAAACATTGAACAGGTACTGATATTGGGAGCTCTAATTTTTTAAATGTGGAATCTAGCTGTACCTGTGTCAGATGCCTTGTTGGCTTTAAGGCAGAGGTGCCCAACCTTTTGGCTTCCCTAGACCACACTGGAATAACAACAACATTATTTTTATACCCCGCCTCCATATCCCCAAAGGGACTCGGGGCGGATTACATGGGGCCAACCCCAATCAACAAAGTTAAAACATAACATATTTCAAATATATACATAACATATTTAAAATATAACATATTTAAAATATATAACTTTAAGATCTTCCAGGGAGGCCCTCCTCTCGGTTCCACCTCCGTCACAATGACAGTTGGTGGGGACGAGAGAGAGGGCCTTCTTGGTGGTGGCCCCCCGCCTCTGGAACACCCTTCCAAGGGAAATATGACAGGCCTCATCCCTCCCCTCCTTTCGTAAGAGCTTGAAGACCTGGTGGTTTCAAAAACCTTTTGAAAATGACCAGTTCTAACTCAGTCTTACACATTGTCAAATGCGGCCTTATTCTTCCTACCAATGGAACTGTCCCCTGGCCCCTCTCTCTTCACTCTGGCCTATAGCGGCAGTTAGTGTTGGGGGGGTGAGGTCCCCAACTTTACCATTATATTGTAATATTATTAGTAATATTATTAGTAATATTACGTGCAATGTAAATATATAATTATAATTATAATTATAATATTGTATTATTATTACTATGAATGTTTAAAGTAAGTTTATGTCCCGTAGGTCACATGTTGGACAAGCCCGCTTTAAGGCGAACAGAATAAATAAACAGAAAATTATCTTCATACTGACAGTTGTATTACTTATACTAAACAATGGCAGAAGATGGTGCCATGGCATTCTTTGCTAATATTTGGAGTCTGACTGTTATTTGGGTTTACATTCTTCATTTCTCCTTCCTTTAGAAACTTCAGGAGATGGATGAACGGAGGACGCGGCGTCTCAAGGAAGGCTATAGCATCTTCTCAGAGACAGAGCAGCAGGTTACGCCCATCATTGGCAAGTGCCTGGAAGGCATGAAAGGAGCTGCAGACGTGGTTGATGAGAAACACGTGGGTGTCTGCGTAATGGGTTGTAGTACTTCCTCCATTCTGCCCAGTGGCTTAGACGTGGGAAAATAGATTGCGTACCACCTAATGGGAATGGGTAAAGTAGCTGCCCCCTCTCGCCTTCGTGATGTCTCTCCAAACTATTCCTAGCCAGCATGGCCGTTCTGAGCAACTGCGTTGCTTTCTGGAGCAGAAGCATCATTCAGGGATAGAGGGCAAACCATGCAGGCAGAAGGATCTAAGTTCCAGTATCTTTACAATATCATGAACTCTGTAGTTGAAAGCATCCAAAAAATACCAGGACAGAACTGTCTAGCTCAGGGGTCCTCAAACTAAGGCCCGGGGGCCGGATACGGCCCTCCAAGGTCATTTACCCGGCCCTCGCTCAGGGTCAACCTAAGTCTGAAATGACTTGAAAGCACAACAACAACAACAATCCTATTTCATTAGCCAAAAGCAGGCCCACACTTCCCATTGAAATACTAATAAGTTTATATTTGTTAATATTGTTCTCCATTTTAATTATTGTATTGTTTTTAATCAGCCTGTTTAGCAATCCTTGCAAATTTATTTATTTATTTATAGTATTTCTATTCCGCCCTTCTCACCCCGCAGGGGACTCAGGGCGGATCACAATGCACGGATACATGGCAAACATTCAATGCCATAGAAACACAACATATATAGACAGAGACACAGAGGCTATATAACTTTCCATCTTCATGAGGGTATGCTTTTTGAATTCTGGCCACCAGGGGAGCTGTTGCTTCACCATCCACTTGTGACACCGCTGGAGTACTTCCTCATTCATTTGCACACTGCTGGAGATTTTTATGCCGTTGTAAATTAGTTAAATTAGCCTCCCCGCATAAGCGGTACCTAAATTTCCTACTTCATCATCATCATCATCTTTAATTACTTATTAATCGCCCTCCATCCGAGATGCTCCAGGCGATTTACATAACAGAAATTATACAGGATAAAACACATACATACAAATATTAAAATTAACATGGGTCAAATGCTCTAGTAAAAAGCCAGGTCTTAAGTGCTAGGATAAAATGCCCTGAGTCACGCATGGCTCTCAAATAGGGAGGCAAGGAATTCCATAAGGCAGGGGCAGAAATAGAGAAGGCCCTGCGTCTGGTGCTTTCCAAGTGCACTTCCCTAGGACCCGGCATATAGAGCAAATCGCGTTGGGATGGTTGTGGCGACCTCCGATGATGGTAGAAGGAGAGACGGTCTCTAAGATACAATGGACCCTGGCCATATAAAGTTTTAAAGGTCAGGACCAGCATCTTATACAAACCACGATACTCAATTGGGAGCCAGTGTAGATGCCACAGCACTGGTGTTATACTTGACAGATGCAACTGTTGTTTGGGCTCCAAAGCTCAACAGCAAGCTAGACAAATGGCCGCGAGTTCACTCCGACCCGGGCTGGCTTCGAACTCATGACCTCTCGGTCAGTAGTGATTTTAATGCAGCTGAAAGATCATCAGTAAACGTTTGTTTTTATACCTATTTTATAGAACTATATATTGTACCTGGAGTCACATAAACATTTATTGGGCTGAAAGGGGTCACAAGTGGAAATAGTTTAAGAAGCTCTGATTTAGACTTCATTGTCAATGCATATCAAGCCAGTTCCTGATAACCTCATGGCATTTACCAAAGAGGGGAGGAGGGGCTTTGGGTGATCATTTTGGATTTAAAGATATCACCTTCCATTGGATGCTTATTGTTTCAGTTTCACTTGTGATGCCCAGCCTTATGTAGACCAGGGGTCCTCAAGCTATGGCCCGGGGGCCAAATACAGCCCTCCAAGGTTATTTACCTGGCCCTCGCTCAGGGTCAACCTAGGTCTATTTATTTATCGTGTCATCCGCAACCAGAACATTGTATTACATTTCTAACAGAACAAAACAAACAAACAGATAAAAAACCACAAATTTTGCAAACTTGGTAGGTGATTAAATGTCCTTTGACCAGTATCTGGCCACTTGGAGTGCCTCTGGTGTTGCCGCAAGAAGGTCCTCCATCGTGCATGTGGCAGGGCTCAGGTTGCATTGCAGTAGGTGATCTGTGGTTTGCTCTTCTCCACACTCGCATGTTGGATTCCACTTTGTAGCCCCATCTCTTAAGATAGGCTCTGCATCTCGTGGTGCCAGAGCGCAGTCTGTTCAGCGCCTTCCAAGTCGCCCAGTCTTCTGTGTGCCCAGGGGGAGTCTCTCATCTGGTATCACCCACGGATTGAGGTGCTGGGTTTGAGCCTGCCACTTTTGGACTCTCGCTTGCTGAGGTGTTCCAGCGAGTGTCTCTGTAGATCTTAGAAAACTATTTCTTGATTTAAGTCATTGACATGCTGGCTGATACCCAAACAAGGGATGAGCTGGAGATGTCTCTGCCTTGGTCCTTTCACTATTGGCTGCTACTTCCCGGCTAATGTCAGGTGGTGCAATGTAATTTCTAAGCAGTGTAATTTCTCCAGAGGTGTAGGGCGCAGACACCCTGTGATAATGCGGCATGTCTCATTAAGAGCCACATCCACTGTTTTAGTGTGGTGAGATGTGTTCCACACTGGGCATGCATACTCAGCAGCAGAGTAGCATAGCGCAAGGGCAGATGTCTTCACTGTATCTGGTTGTGATCCCCAGGTTGTGCCAGTCAGCTTTCGTATGATATTGTTTCTAGCACCCACTTTTTGTTTGATGTTCAGGCAATTCTTCTTGTAGGTCAGAGAACGGTCCAGAGTGACTCCCAGGTATTTGGGTGCGCTGCAATGCTCCAGTGGGATTCTTTCCCAGGTAATCCTCAGAGCTCGGGATGCTTGTCTGTTCTTAAGGTGAAAGGTTAGGTCTGAAACGACTTGAAAGCACATAACAACAATAACAACCCTATATCATGAGCCAAAAGGAGGCCCACACTTCCCATTGAAATACTAATGAGTTTATATTTGTTTTAATTGTTCTTCATTTTAATTATTGTATTGTTTTTAAGTGTTTTTGCACTACAAATAAGATATGTGCAGTGTGTATAGGAATTTAGTAAAAAAAATCAAATAATAATCCGGCCCTCCAGCAGTTTGAGGGACTGTGACTTGGCCCTCTGTTTAAAAAGTTTGAGGACCGCTGATGGAGACTATCACTGTGCTGCTGCCGCATGCTATTCCAGTCATCATCAGGGCAGAAGACAGGGTTTTAGAATCATAGAGTTGGAAGAGACCTCATGGGCCATCCAGTCCAACCCCCTGCCAAGAAGCAGGAAAAATGCATTCAAAGCACCCCCGACAGATGGCCATCCAGCCTCTGTTTAAACGCCTCCAAAACATGCTATGTGTATGCTTAGCTGTGATTTAAAGCTGGTTTGTGGATCTTTCACATGGTTTTGTTTTTGAGGGCCACTTAGAAGGATGTTTCTCTCTCTCTCTCAGGATTCACAGATCCTAATTGAACTGCACAAATCTGGTTTCGAGAGGCCAGCAGACATGGATTTTGAAGACTTCAGCCAGCCAATCAACCGCACTTCATCCGATAGTAGCCTCGGCAATCCCCGTGGCACCCTGGATGGCCGACTGGATCCACGCCTGCTGAGCAAGAACAAGGGGAAACGCTGGCCCTTCAGCAGGAAAAATAAGGTTGGGACCAACATAGAGGAGAAAGGGTGGTGGGTGTCTTTGGTTGTCTGAGCTTCTGGGTTCTCTAGATAGCTCTGGAAATTAAGTAGGGGTACATTAATGGGGAGGGTGTGATACAGGAAACCACATGGTAAGTACAACAGCAAAGTGTGCTGTATGGCATAGATTACACAGGCCAACCCCCCAAATTGTTTTTCTTGGTGTCTTGGTTTTTAGGCTTGTTCCTGGAGTTATTTGGGCTGCTGATTCAGAAAATTGTATTGGGTAAACTGTCAGCTCTAGTTTATGAGATAAAGTTATCATGGTTTTCTATGGGTATTTATTTATCGTGTCAGGAGCAAACCAAACAGTTGTATTGCATTTTTTAAACAAACAAACAAACACAAAGTTTGCAAGCTTGGTAGTTGATTAAAGCACCACTTGGAGTGCTTCTGGTGTTACTATAAGAAGGTCCTCCATTGTGCATGTGGCAGGTCTCAGGTTGCATCGCAGTAGGTGGTCTGTGGTTTGCTCTCCTCCACACTCGCATGTCGTGGATTCCACTTTGTAGCCCCATTTCTTAAGGTTGGCTTTGCATCTCGTGGTGCCAGAGCGCAGTCTGTTCAGCGCCTTCCAAGTCGCCCAGTTTTCTGTGTGCCCAGGAGGGAGTCTCTCATTTGGTATCAGCCATTTGGTTGAGGTTCTGGGTTTGAGCCTGCCACTTTTGGACTCTCGCTTGCTGAGGTGTTCCAGCAAGTGTCTCTGTAGATCTTAGAAAAATAGACACCCATAAAATTACATTAATTGATGCATCAGGAGGTTAAATGTTTTTGAATATTTACATAAAACTGTAATTTAAGGTAAGACTGTTCAACTCTGATTAAACCATTCTGACCTTCTTCAATGTAAATGTGCTTAGGTACCCTTCCAATAAAAATAAATAGAGTAAAATAATAAACATAATAATAATAATAATAATAATAATAATAATAATAATAATAATAAATAGAGTAAAATAATAAATGTAATAAAAATAATAATAATAACAGGTAGTAATTGTAAAAGCGCATTTCTACCCCGCCCTTCTCAACACCCAAGGGGGGACTCAGGGCGGCTTACTATTGGCTGCTACTTCCTGGCGGATGTCAGGTGATGTAATACCGGCTATGGGTGAGCAGATGACAACTGGTAGATGGCATATACGTACGTGTGAAAAAGATCAGTACGTGTGAAAAAGATCTTGGAGTCCTCGTGGACAACAAGTTAAACATGAGCCAACAATGTGATGTGGCGGCAAAAAAAGCCAATGGGATTTTGGCCTGCATCAATAGGAGCATAGTGTCTAGATCCAAGGAAGTCATGCTACCCCTCTATTCTGCTTTGGTTAGACCACACCTGGAATATTGTGTCCAATTCTGGGCACCACAATTGAAGAGAGATATTGACAAGCTGGAATGTGTCCAGAGGAGGCGACTAAAATGATCAAGGTCTGGAGAACAAGCCCTATGAGGAGCGGCTTAAGGAGCTGGGCATGTTTAGCCTGAAGAAGAGAAGGCTGAGAGGAGATATGATAGCCATGTATAAATGTGTGAGAGGAAGCCACAGGGAGGAGGGAGCAAGCTTGTTTTCTGCTTCCCTGGAGACTAGGACGCGGAACAATGGTTTCAAACTACAAGAAAGGAGATTCCATCTGAACATGAGGAAGAACGTCCAGACTGTGAGAGCCGTTCAGCAGTGGAACTCTCTGCCCCGGAGTGTGGTGGAGGCTCCTTCTTTGGAAGCTTTTAAAGAGAGGCTGGATGGCCATCTGTCAGGGGTGATTTGAATGCAATATTCCTGCTTCTTGGCAGGGGGTTGGACTGGATGGCCCATGAGGTCTCTTCCAACTCTTTGATTCTATATGTTTTGTATCTCAAATACTAGAGCTGATGGAGGATAACTGGTGCCATCTTTGGAATCAGCAGGTCAAATATACCCAGAAAGAGGGCTAACATTCGAGATACCAAAATGTGTGTTGGCCAGTGTTATCATGGTAACCCTTGCCTATCAAACCCTGGAGATGTGATCAGTTTGCTCAGCGAGTGAGGCATACTCCATGCCAGTTGGCAAGGTGCCATTGCTTTCTCCATTGCTCTGACTGCCTCCTGTCTCCTTTTGGCTGCTTATACTAGTCCTCATGAAAAAGCTGTCTCCTCCAACCTTCTGGGCCTCACCAGTGCTTTCCAAGAATATAGGTTTTTTTTCCCCCCTGTGGGTAATACTTTTTGGCAGCTCTCTTGGTTTCCTGAATCCTTTTTTGCCTCTCTCCAGCTTCCTGCACTTCATGGCCTCCCTCTATGAAGGCTGCAAATATCTTTGTCCCTGGGACAGTAATTCCCAGCTGTGCCTCTCATTCAGAGACGGGTGTTGCTTTCCCCTACAGTCCCTAGTTGACCTCTGTGTTTATACGCTACAGATGGTTATGGAAAAGGTCCAAGCTTTACTTCAGCAGGTCTTTGATTTTCCTACTTATTTCTCAAAGTAGCTCCTTTACAACTTGCACATGAGCTTAGAATTATGAAATTTCTGGAAATTTTGAAGACATGAAAAAAAAAATCACTTGTCATTTTGTGGAAAACATACATTTTAGCCAAACGGAAACATGTCCAATTAGTGACCATCACACATTTTTTGGACATGTGGACCTTTCTGGGGTTTTTTTAAAACTGGGAATAAATATAGGTTGCTTACCTGTAATCGTAGTTTCCCGAGTGGCCACCTGTGAATTCGCACATATGGTGGAAACTACCATATGTGCGATTCACAGTTGACCACGATGGGAAAACCTGGTTACATCGTTTTAGTGCGGCAGTGTAAGTGTGCCAGAATATTAAGGTTAACTCTAACATTAAGTTGTTAGAGAAGCTTTTATTTATTTTTATTTACACCATTTCTACCCTGCCCTTCTCACCCCCGAGGGGGGACTCAGGGCAGCTAACACAGGCAGCAATTCAATGCCACAATATCTTCAAGTACCTCCACTCCCTTCCGAAGATTGCTACAACCCTCTTCTAATGACTTCAAGTACCTCCACTCCCTTCCGAAGATTGCTACAACCCTCTTCTAATGACCAATCAAGACCAAACTTGGCACACAGAGCCCCCATGATCCACTCTACATCCTGCTGCAGTTTGAAAGAGGATGGACTTTGGATGATGGGACTTGCAGTACCTTCACTCACTTACTGACACCACTGCCACCCTCATCTAATGACTGATAAAGACCAAACTTGGCACACAGAGCCCCATGACCCACTCTATATCCTGCTGCTGTTTGTAGGAGGATGGGCCATGGATGATGGGACTTCAAGTACCTTCACTCACTTCCTGAAAATAATGCAGCCGTTATCCAAAGACCAATAAAGACCAAACTTGGCATACAGAACCACCATTACCCACTTTCTCTAATAACCCGGGCAACGCCGGGTCCCCAAGCTAGTATCTATATAAATAAAAATGTAATGTTCGTTTGTGCTATTCACAGAACTCAAAAACCCCTGGACCAATTGACACCAAATTTGGACACAAGACACCTGACAACCCAATGTATGTTCTCCACTCAAAAAAACCATGAAAACAAAAAGCAGAAAGGACTTCTGAACTACATGTTCACAAAGGGGAAACTGCATTGCCCACAAAGAGACCCATGGCCACGCCCCCTCCTCCTCACGAGGAAACAGCCGGCTGGCCGTTAAAGCATGAGGAGCCAGACGCGCGTGCATGGCCACACGCACACACAAGTGAGAATGGGCATCATGGGAGTGGAGGTGGAGGCTTGCGCGAGGAAGGCCGGCGGATGGGGGAGGGACTTTAGGAGCCTACCCACTGTCCTCCTCCACTTCCTCTCCTTCCTCATCTGAAACCGCACCACCACCGCTTTAGGAGTGAGGAAGAAAAGGAGGAAGATGGTGGATGGGCTCCTAAGTCCCTCCTTTGCCAGCAGAAGCAGCAGCCTTTTCCTCTTGGCTGCCCCCCCCCCCTTTCGTCGCCTCCTCTTCCTCCAAGATGCCCCAGTGGAAGCAGCAGGCAGGAGGGAGGGAGGAAGAGAGACTGTTGCCTTCTTCACCAACTCTTCCTTGCCTCCCTCCCTTCACTGCAGGAAGGAGGAAAGAAAGAAAGAGGCAGAAACAAGTTTTATTTTTGAATTCTCCCATTACTCTGCATCCTGCTCCCTTCTTCCTCCTCCAACTCCTTCTTTCTTTCCTCCCTCTCCTTCTCTCTCATTTCTGTAGATCTGTCTCTGGCAACACGAGCACACATTTAACTCTCTCTCTCTCTCTTCTATTAGCTCCCTCTGCCACACTCCTCACTCCCTTCCCTTCTTTCCTCCCCCTTTTCTTCCTTCCTTCTCTTCCTTTCCTCCCCCCCTTCCTTCCCTTCCTGTCCCTCCCTCCCTCCTTTCCTTCTTTCCCTCCTTCCCTTCCATCCTGTCCCTCCTTCCTTCTTCCTTTCCTTTCCTTCTTTTCCTTCACCCTCCCTTCCTTTCCTCCTCCTTTCCCTTTCTTCATTTCCTTCCCCTTCATTTCCTTCCCTCCCTCCTTTCTTCACCCCCTCCTTCCTTTCCCTCCTTCCTTCTCCTTCCTTTCCTTCCTTCTTTCCTTCCCTCTTTCCCTCCCTCCCTCCCTTTTCCTTCCTTCCTTCCTTCCTTCCTTCCTTTCCTTCTTTCTATGTAAGATATAAATACAATATTTTATATATTGTTATATACATTACTATATAATACGTTACTATTATATATTACTATATAATACAAATTAAATAGACTTGCAGAATAGAGTTGGAAGGGACTGTCAAGAAGTAATGAGAGAAGGAGGGAAAGGGGGAAGGAATGAAGGAGAGAAAGGGGGAAGGAGGGAGGAAAAGAAGGAAGGAAGGAGAAAAGAAAGAAAGAAGGGAGAGAACAAGGAAGGAGAGAAGGAAATAAAAAAGTGAAAGGGAAAGAAGGAGGATGTAACCAAAGAGCAAAGAAATGGAGGAAAGAAACAGGTAGAGATGGAAGAAAGAAGAAGATAAATAGGAAGGGAAAGAAGTAGAGGAAAGGAAGGAGAGAAAGAGGGAGGGAAGGTTGGCCACAGCAATGCGTGGTGGGTACAGCTAGTCAGTAATATAATATAAAATCATCATACATAGCAAAGTTAAAAACAGTAACATTAATTAAAATCACATAATCTAGATAATATTACATTGTGCATATTTGGAATATGAATTCATTTTTGGCATGACGTCCAACCAATGCATAAAACACAATTTCTCGGGAAGGAGTCTGGGGCTAAGCTGTAAGAAGTGTGTGTATGGGGGGGGGGCAGTCTCAGTGGAGACAGAGAGAAGAGAGATGAGGGAATGGGGCCACTGCTTCTCAGAAGCTTCTCTAGTTTTCCTGCCCTCTCTGGCCAGCTCTTTCAAAGCTTCCGAATATTTTATTTATTTATTTATTTATTTCCTATATTTATACCCCACCCTTCTCCCCCCTGAAAGGGGACTCAGGGCGGACTAACAAAAGAATCATACAATGCTAGCATCATAGAAACAATCACAGTACAATCAAAAAATTAAAAATTAAAACAACAGTGGGTTGTTGTAAGTGTTTTCGGGCTATATGGCCATGGTCTAGAGGCATTCTCTCCTGACGTTTCGCCTGCATCTATGGCAAGCATCCTCAGAGGTAGTGAGGTCTGTTGGAACTAGGAAAAGGGTTTATATATCTGTGGAATGACCAGGGTGGGACAAAGAACTCTTGTCTGCTGGACTAGCTCCAGCAGACAAGAGTCCTTTGTCTCACCCTGGTCATTCCACAGATATATAAACCCTTTTCCTAGTTCCAACAGACCTCACTACCTCTGAGGATGCTTGCCATAGATGCAGGTGAAACGTCAGGAGAGAATGCCTCTAGACCATGGCCATATAGCCCGAAAAACCTACAACAACCCAGTGATTCCAGCCATGAAAGCCTTCGACAATACATTAAAACAACAATTAAAACAATTAATTAAGACACATCCATTAAAATCGAAATCCAAAAACCAGTCTGAGTCAATTCATTGCCATAAGTTGTGTGATCTTCTTCCACTTGCTGCTCACTGATCAAACACTTGGTCCCATAACCAGGTCTTGATTTTCCTTCTAAAAGACAAGAGGGAGGTGGCCTATCTGATATCTCTAGGGAGGGTGTTCCATAGGTAGGGGGCCACTGCTGAGAAGGCCTTGTCTCTCGTCCCCATCAACCGTGTTTGCAATAGTGGTGGGATCAAGAGCAGGGCCTCTCCTGAAGATCTTAAACTTCGTGATGGGTCGTGACAGGAGGATAGCTTCTCATCTCACTACCAGCACCGCATCCCTTCATACTCAGAACTATATGTGGCACTTAGGTTTAGGGTCAGTCATGTAGCCGGGGGGGGGGGGGGGGGGGCTTGGGGGCTTCAGCCCCCCCCCAAATTCTCATGATGGTCTGCGAGAAGGCCTTACTGGTGCATTATTTAAACTGTTATGTTTATTCATATCATGATCTGATCACCATACTCAATATATCCCATATGCATGGGGGTATTGGGGTAACAATACAAAAGGTTTGCTAGGGTAGACCCTCTTTCACTCAGACTCAGCCCCCCCCCCCCCCCGAATCAAAATCCTGGCTACGGGCCTGTTTAGGGTCAATTTAGCCCTTCACATACACAGGTTGGAAATCATAGGACCAGGAATTTTCGATTCTTTCTAGAACTTATTGCAACAAGGGGTCCCCATGCATCTTTGCCTTTTTCATTCTCTCCGCTGCGCTCCCTGGTTGTGGGATGCTATTCTGTAGCTCATGCTGCTGCCTCTTACCTTCTTCCTCCGCTTTGTATTCTTGGTTTTTGTTTTTATTTTGTCTATTACAGTGCATTCCTGTTATATTGGTCTTGCGAGATTGTCTAGTCAGGTGAATGAGGTAGGCAGTACATGTAGGAAGTAAACTTGCTTTTAAGGGCAAAAGGTTACCCCAAAAGGTCAAAATCGGCCATCCGGTTTGCTTCCCGTTGTAAACATATGCAGTATAGATGGAATGTACTGTAATTCTCCTTGTTCTTGTTTGGGATTTTGTGTGTGTGTGCCTTTTTATTTTCTTACAGAGTTTTTTTCCCCATTCTTCTGTGTGTGTTTTCGTTTCTTGTTCACGGCCCTTGTCTGTCGCTAGCTCCCGCCCCCTCCCTTCTCCCCCTTAAATTGCCCCTCCTCTTTATCTTCCCCTTCCTCATCTGCCATCAATGGACCTCCATCCCCCAAATTCACCCGTGACCCCTTGTCTTACTGTTTGAACGAGATCAATAAGACAGTCAAACCCCGCATCACGTCCTTCCGCAGCCTCAAACGGGGGGTAAGTGGATGATTTCGTTTGCTAAATCCACCTCGTGCGTCTGCTGCTTCTAAAGGCTCTTGCCAGGGACAAGATCACAGCCCTCGGTTATTTGTTTTCAACATAGCCATTGTTTGGTAGAGAGCAGATCACCGGGAAGAGAAAGTGCACATTGGAAAATCAGCTCAGTTTAGCTCTCTTTAGGCCAGAGCCTGGGAAGGTTTGTTTTTTTATCTCATCTGCCAGAAACCCACAGTGACATGACTACTAGGACTTCTGGGAGCTTTGATCCAAAAACTTCACAAGCTGTGATTTAGATATGCCATATTGGCACAGAAACAGCTATTTTAACACAGACAGGGCCTTTTCTGTGGTGGCCCCTTTTCTGTTAAGGCATCTTTTCTGAGTTTGTGTTTTTAGCCTCAAGGTCTCGAGAAAAGGTCAGTCGTAAGACCAAACAGGGCATAGGGTTCCAGCCTGTGTTTGACGGGGTTACACTCCCATTGAAGGTGCAGATTCGTAGCATGGGAGTGATCCTGGACTCATCGCTGAGCCTGGAACCCCAGGTCTCAGCGGTGGCCGGGAGAGCTTTTGCACAGTTAAAGCTTGTGTGCCGGCTGCGCCCATACCTTGAGAAGTCTGGCTTGGCCATGGTGGTCCACGCTCTGGTTACATCCTGTATAGCAGTGGTTCTCAACCTGGGATCCCCAGATGTTTTTGGCCTACAAGAAGCTCTGACCTACAAGAAGCACTGTCTGAACATCCAGCAAAAAGTGGGTGCTAGAAACAATATGGCACAACCTGGGGATCACAACCAGACACAGTGAAGACATCTGCCCTTGCGCTTTGCTACTCTGCTGCTGAGTATGCATGCCCAATGTGGAACACATCTCACCACGCTAAAACAGTGGATGTGGCTCTTAATAAGAGCATTATTTCCCAGCCAGTTTGCCAGCTGTTAGGATTTCTGGGAGTTGAAGGCCAAAAACATCTGGGGACCCCAGGTTGAGAACCACTGCTGTATAGACTACTGCAACGCTCTCTACGTGGGATTGCCTATGAAGACTGCCCGGAAGCTGCAACTAGTCCAACGCTCGCCAGCCAGGTTACTAACAAGAGCGGGGTACAGGGCGCATACAACTCCCTTGTTGCGCCAGCTCCACTGGCTGCCAATTAGCTTCCGAGCACAATTCAAAGTGCTGGTTTTAACCTACAAAACCCTATACGGTTCCGGCCCAGTTTACCTGTTGAAACGTATTCTCCCCTATGAACCATCAAGACTGTTAAGATCATCTGGAGAGGCTCTGCTCTCGGTCCCGCCACCTTTGCAGGCGCGTCTGGTGGGAACGAGAGACAGGGTGTAGCGGAATTGCTACTCTATGTTAAATTTTTGGTGTATAGCTCTATGTTTACATATGGCAGATAGGGAAGAATAGGCACAGACAGGGTAGCAACAGCAGAGATAGGATTCATTTGCATTCATTTGGAAGCCAATTGGTCATATGCAGATTAGCATAGGCCCAGGATTTGAAAAGGTTGCTAGGCCAAAATGACAGTTGGAGAGAGAGAAGAGCTGAACATTCCAAAGGGGCGGAGCCAAGGTTTAAAAATAGGCAGTTAGAGAGTGTTTGTGAAGGGAGTTAGGGATTCCTGTTTGTGAGAGACAGTTAGGAACTTCTGTGGGAGCAAAGAATTAGGAACTCCAGTTAGAAATAAGCAGTTATGAAGATGTGTTAAAGACTTCTGATATATATAGAAGTAGTTAGTTAAATAGAACTCAAGTTTTAGGAACATAAAGAAAGCCAGTGGTGCTTTAGTCAGAAAATAATTTCAGTTAAGAGTGTGTAAAGCAAGTAACATGTTTGTGAGTGTGAAACATTGAAGGTCTATTTCAGAAAAGTAAACCAAGTATATTATACTGACTGTAAGCCCCAAGATTGCAACAAAACTCAAATGTAACCACAAGCGTTGGAGCCAGAAGTTATAAATAAACTGTGTTACTTAGTTATACAGGAGTGTGTCTCAGTGCCTGTACAAAGGTTAAACAGAACACAGAAAGTCCCAGCTAATATAAAAGAAGAAACTGAATCAGTATAAGAGCAAAGAGGTCTTAAATAAAGAAATAGGCTCCCTCCCTCGCTACACAGGGCCTTTTCTGTGGTGGCCCCTCGGCTATGGAATTCCCTCCCAAATGAAATTAGATCTGCCCCCTCCCTCCTGACCTTTTGGAAGCTAGTGAAACCCTGGCTGTGGAACAAAGCTTTTGCGGAATAATGTCTGAGACCGGCAATCGACCAAAGTTACTGACCACAATATATGGACTGAGTTGGACACGATTTTCTCGTGGCGAACGGCTTTTGTGTAATTTATCCTATTTGTATTTGGTAATTTACTGTTGATGTATTATGTTTTAGATTTTTAGAGTAGAGATTTAAGGACTACAATTCTACTTGGACACCAAGTAGACTACTTGCTGTGTCTACTTGGACACTTGGACTACTTGCTGTCAGCCGGTCTGAGTCCCTACTTGGACACTTGCTGTCAGCTGGTCTGAGTCCCTCTCCAGAGGTAGAGAAGATCGGGATATAAAAGTTTTAAATAAATAAATAAATAAGGCAGAAATATGACCCAGTGAAAAACAGTGTGGTTAGAGATCTTTACTACTGAGCTCCAGTCATTAAAGGAAAGAAATTACCCCTCTTTTGAGCATTATGGCTCATATAGAGTGATCAACAGAAGCTTCACAGTGGCAAAAAGGCAGTGGCAGGAGAGCTTTGCATATCCATTAGGGCCAGAAACATCTTGGCCACGTGGCCACAGAATGTGACTCCTGAGTTCCTGCCTGAAACAGGGATTCCCTGCTTCCTAGTTGTGCCTCTCCTCTTTCCCAGCCCTGCCCTAACCTTCTTTTTGGCACAAACCTGAATAAAACTAGTCTCTGCTCAAAAGAGTTGGGAGGCATATGGACTGTGTGTCTACAACCATGAGAAAAGTGAGCTTTTTATGTCCTCTTCCATGAAGCCTTACTCAGAATAGAAGTTGGAGGAAGGCTTACTTGCTGCTTTTCTTCAGAGACTATGGACCTCACTACCTCTGAGGATGCTTGCCATAGATGCAGGCGAAATGTCAGGAGAGAATGCCTCTAGGACAAGGCCATATAGCCCGAAAAAATCGACAGCAACCCAGTGATTCCAGCCATGAAAGTCTTCGACAAAACTATGGGCCCATTGTTCAGATATGTTGGCTTTTATTTGATAACTACTACGGATTTTTTGTGGTGGAAGGAATCAGAAGGCAGCCTTCCAGCCAGAGCAAAGCAATCCAGTCCTGTGCATGATGAAGCCATGATGGTCTCAAAAACAGGAGACCAAGATGGTCCAAGATGGTCACATAGTAAACATAGTCCAAGATGGTCAAATTAAACCATCCACCTAGGCCAAACTACACCCAGGAGGACAGGGATGGGAATCATGTGGTCATCCAGATATTGCTGGTCTGCAAGTCCCAGCAGCCTTAGCCAGTGATGTTTTAGCCCAGTGGTTCTCAACCTGTGTGTCCCCAGGTATTTTGACCTACAACTCCCAGAAATCCCAGCTGTTAGGATTTCTGGGAGTTGAAGGCCAAAACATCTGGGGACCCACAGCTTGAGAACCACTGTTTTGGCCCAACACTACCTGTAGAATCAGCACTGTACTAGGATCATATAATTCCCAGCCATGCTATGTCTTCAGCAACATGCCTAGTCATGGACAAACCAATGTAGGATAGACTTCTCCCCAGAAACAACTGTGGAAATCGGTTGGCCCCTGCCTGAGGTGCTTGATTTGAGGAATTTGGGAATCAAGGAACTAAGGAATCATAGAATCAAAGAGTTGGAAGAGATCTCATGGGCCATCCAGTCCAACCCCCTGCCAAGAAGCAGGAATATTGCATTCAAATCACCCCTGACAGATGGCCATCCAGCCTCTGTTTAAAAGCTTCCAAAGAAGGAGCCTCCACCACACTCCGGGGCAGAGAGTTCCACTGCTGAACGGCTCTCACAGTCAGGAAGTTCTTCCTCATGTTCAGATGGAATCTGCTCTCTTGTAGTTTGAAGCCATTGTTCTGCGTCCTACTCTCCAAGGAAGCAGAAAACAAGCTTGTTCCCTCCTCCCTGTGGCTTCCTCTCACATATTTATACTTGGCTATCATATCTCCTCTCAGCCTTCTCTTCTTCAGGCTAAACATGCCCAGCTCCTTAAGCCGCTCCTCATACGGCTTGTTCTCCAGACCCTTGATCATTTTAGTCGCCATCCTCTGGACACATTCCAGCTTGTCAATATCTCTCTTGAATTGTGGTGCCCAGAATTGGACACAATATTCCAGGTGTGGTCTAACCAAAGCAGAATAGAGCGGTAGCATGACTTCCCTAGATCTAGACACTATGCTCCTATTGATGCAGGCCAAAATCCCATTGGCTTTTTTTGCCACCACATCACATTGTTGGCTCATGTTTAACTTGTTGTCCACGAGGACTCCAAGATCTTTTTCACACGTACTGCTCTCAAGCCAAGCGTCCCCCATTCTGTATCTTTGCATTTCATTTTTCCTGCCTAAGTGGAGTATCTTGCATTTGTCCCAGTTGAACTTCATTTTGTTAGTTTTGGCCCATCTCTCTAATCTGTCAAGATCGTTTTGAATTCTGCTCCTGTCCTCTGGAGTATTGGCTAACCCTCCCAAGATCAGAAGAATATGGTATCCCATCGCCTATTGCATAGTGGGACTTTACCAAATTTCTGATATTCAACCCACAACCCAAGGGCAAAGTTGATGGGATTCAGGGTTACAACCATAGACAAAAGGTGGCAAGATGATCAAGTTCTAAAAGACCAGACTATTTTTGTGTGTTACTGTTGATATGTGAGTTATATTAATTGTATTGTTTTATCTGCTTACTGCTTTGTTGTTTTACTGATGTGTTGTTGGGCTTGGCCTCATGTAAGCCGCCCCGAGTCCCCTTGGGGAGATGGTGGCAGGGTATAAATAAAGTATTATTATTATTATTATTATTATTATTACACAAGCATGTGGACAATTTCAACAGAAAGGAGAAACCATGAAAATGAACAAAATCTGGCTACCAGTATTAAAAAAACTCTAAAATTACAACAGCACAACAACAGAGAGGAAACAAACAAGGACATCTAATCACCTCTCAACAAAAGTTTGCTCCAGGCACTGTCAGGCAATCAAATGCTAATCAAGGTGATCAGCTGAAACATTTACACCTAGCCCCAGCAGACAAGAGTCCTTTGTCCCACCCTGATCATTCCACAGATATATAAACCCTTTTTCCTAGTTCCAACACTTTTTCCTCACTACCTCTGAGGATGCTTGCCATAGATGCAGGCGAAATCAGGAGAGAATGCCTCTAGAACATGGCCCTATAGCCAGAAAAAAAACAACCCAGTGATTCCGGCCATGAAAGCCTTCGACAATATTATTATTACTATTATTATTATTACTTACCTGAGATATCATTAGCTGGCTCACAGCCAATGACTGATAAGTTTATTGGCCTCCTTTTCTGACCAGTCTTTGGGAGGATGGTTTTGTCACCCAACCAGAAGGCCAATAATCTTACTATTTGTTGGGAACCCCTCAGTTCAAATGTAGCTTCAGCTATTGCAAAGTGAGGGTAGCTAAACTACCTAAGGCATAAGGTTACACTGCTTCATGTTGCTGTTTTGCATTATTAAAAAACCCAGAACACATTAATGGAGGCAGGAAGAGGGTGACTAAAATGATCAGGGGTCTGGAGAACAAGTCCTATGAGGAGCGGCTTAAGGAGCTGGGCATGTTTAGCCAGAAGAAGAGAAGCCTGAGAGGAGACATGATAGCCATGTATAAATATGTGAGAGGAAGTCATAGGGAGGAGGGAGCAAGCTTGTTTCTGCTTCCCCTGGAGACTAGGATGCGGAACAATGGCTTCAAACTACAAGAAAGGAGATTCCATCTGAACATGAGGAAGAACATCCTGACTGTGAGAGCCGTTCAGCAGTGGAACTCTCTGCCCTGGAGTGTGGTGGAGGCTCCTTCTTTTGGAAGCTTTTAAACAGAGGCTGGATGGCCATCTGTCAGGGTGCTTTGAATGCAATATTCCTGCTTCTTGGCAGGGGGTTGGACTGGATGGCCCATGAGGTCTCTTCCAACTCTATGATTCTATGATTCTAAGGTCTGTTGAGGCCATACTTTGAAGTCCTTTGGAGGCTTGAAAGTACTACTGGTTACCTCTGCTTGACTTCTCCTGTCCTCAAAGGTTGATAGGTCTGATGCAGTGTCAGGTCCCAGGTCCTGAGAGGATTGCTGCCTTTTCCAGACTCTTAATTATGGATTATGGAAGGTAATGTGCCTTAAGCAGAGTGGAGATCAGTGTGTAGGAAGGTGTTATAGGTCAGTAGGACAAAGCATGGAAACATCCAGGAGGAGCAAGGAAGAAAGTCATATGTGTCTTTTTCTTTTTGCCAGACTGTGATCACGGAAGACTTTAGCCACCTGCCGCCAGAGCAGAGGAGGAAAAAGCTCCAGCAGAAGATCAAAGAAAGAAACCGGGAGTTACAGAAAGAGATAGATCAGAGGTGAGAAACAGAGAGACAACGTCCACTGTCTCGAATTGGGGACACTATAATTCAGAAAGTACTTGCTGGCATGCAACAACAACAACTGTTGCTGTGGCCCAGTCCGATTATCTGGAAAATAAAGTAATGAGAAAGTGTTGGTTTCTAATATATGTAATGTAGGTTTTCTGTCGGGCATGGGAGTCCTATACACCTAGTTTGGTTCAATTCCATCGTTGGTGGAGTTCAGAATGCTCTTTGATTGTAGGTGAACTATAAATCCCAGCAACTACAACTCCCAGATGACAAAATATAACTCCTTGGGTTAGTAGGTGTCTTGTGACCAAATTTGGGGTTAATTTCTCCAGTGGTTTTTGAGTTGTGTTAATCCCACAAACTAACATTACATTTTTATTTATATAGACTAACCGTCCCCTGCCACGCATTGCTGTGGCCCACATGGGGGTTCTGTGTGGGAGGTTTGGCCCAATTCTATCGTTGGTGGAGTTCAGAATGCTCTGTGATTGTAGGTGAACTATACATCCCAGCAACTACAACTCCCAAATGTCAAAATTCTATTTTCCCCAAACTCCACCAGTGTTCACATTTGGGCATATTGAGTATTCGTGTAGAGTTTGGTCCAGATCCATCATTGTTTGAGTCCACAGTGATCTCTGGATGTAGGTGAACTACAACTCCAAAACTCAAAAGACACTGCCCACCAAACCCTTCCAGTATTTTCTGTTGGTCATGGAGAACTGTGTGCCAAGTTTGGTTCAATTCCATCATTTGTGGGGTTCAGAATGCTCTTTGATTGTAGTGAACTATAAATCCCAGCAACTACAACTCCCAAATGACAAAATCAATTTTTGAGTGAAGGACATACATTGGGTTGTTAGGTGTCTTGTGTCCAAATTTGGTCTCAATTCCCAGCGGTTTTTGAGTTGTGTTAATCCCACAAACGAACATTATATTTTTATTTATATAGATTTGATCAAAACATCTCTAGTGTGTAGCTGGTGGCTTCTGAGTTGAGAGGTAATATATCCATTCTGGGTTTTGGTCTCAAATTTTAAGGAGTTGTCCACAGTTCTGATCCCCATCTCCAATTTAAGTTCAGCACTTTGGTTAATTCTTTTAAGGTCCAGGTAAAAATGTGAAGCAGATTCACTTCCCTGCCAGATGGTAAACATCAGCTCCCTCCACCTCTTTGTAACATTTATTTATTTATTATTTATTTATTATTTGAACTTATATGCCGCCACTCCCCTGGGGCTCGGAGCAGCTTACAAGAATGGTTAAAATCTAACACAATTTAAAAACAATTTAAAACAATTAAAAAACAGCAATATCACAAATAAAAAGCCTGTTGAAACAGATATGTCTTACATGCCCTGCGGAAAGCTGATAAGTCCCACAAGGCACGGACTTCAGGTGGCAGAGTATTCCAGAGTGATGGTGCCACTGCTGTAAAGGCTCTGCGTCTGGTTAGTGTTAGACGCAAGGTCTTGACACTGGGAATTTCCAACAAATCTTGATCCTCAGAACGGAGGGATCTCTGGGGTTGGTAGAGGGTGAGGCGGTCCCTCAGGTACACCAGCCCCAGACCATGCAAGGCCTTAAAGGTGAGTACCATCACTTTGAAAGTGATCCGGTGCTCAATTGGTAACCAATGCAGCTGTAGTAAGATTGGTGTTATGTGGCATCTCATCGGAATTCCCGCAAGAAGCCGAGCAGCTGCATTTTGTACCAACTTGAGCTTCCGGATCACCGACAGAGGAAGGCCAATGTAGAGGGCATTACAGTAGTCCAGTCTTGAGATGACCGTGGCCTGGATCACCGTAGCTAGGTCGTCCCTGGACAGGTAGGGGGCCAGCCGTCTAGCCTGCCGCAGATGAAAAAAGGCGGTTCTGCTAACGGCAGAGACCTGGGCCTCCATCGTCAGCAGAGGGTCCAAAAGGACTCCCAGACTCTTTACCAATGATGACGGGCGTAGCGCCTTGCCATCCAGGGTAGGCAGCTGGATGTCCCCACTGCCCGGTTGACCCAGCCATAGGATCTCCGTCTTTGCTGGATTCACCCTCAACCTGCTGGCACGCAGCCATCCAGTAACGGCCTCGAGGCACTGATGGAAACAATCGGGTACAGAGTCCGGTCGGCCTTCCATCTTCAGCACAAGCTGGGTGTCATCAGCGTACTGGTAACACTCCAGCCCAAAACCTCGAACCAGCTGAGCAAGTGGTCGCATATAGATGTTAAACAACAGAGGGGAGAGAATGGCCCCCTGAGGAACCCCACAAGATAGAGGGGACCTCTCAGAGACCAGGCCTCCCCTCTCCACTCGCTGTCCACGGTTGTGAAGAAAGGAGGACAGCCAATTTAAAGCTGTCCCCCTGACTCCAACAGCAGCAAGGCAGTGGGTCAAAAGATCGTGCTCGACTGTGTCAAATGCTGCTGTGAGATCCAATAACACAAGCAGCGCTGACCCGCCCTGGTCAAGCTAGCATTGAAGGTGATCCGTGATGGAGACCAGCACAGTCTCTGTCCCGTGCCCCGCACGGAAGCCGGACTGGAAGGGATCTAGTCTAGAGTACAATCTTTCATATGTATGTTAAAGTGTACATCTGAGTTCAGTGGGAGTTATTTCCGGGTAACCTGAAGCCTCAAATACATAAACATCTCTTCTGGCTTTATTAACAGATTAGAAAAAAATAATCTTTTCGGCTACTTTCAGAACATGAGCTCTGTAACTGAAAAACCACAAAGGCATTGTTTGTTAATTGGTATCTGGCAAAGGGAAGCAATTGGGTTTTAAAGACGGTAAACAAATGTGTGTGATTATTTTGCTTATGGGTATAAAGGCTTAGTTATGCTAAGCTTTTTGAGAAACTGACACTGGGAGGCTAATTATCACAAGTAGTAGGGTTTTAAAAATCTCTCAATTCAATTTTTTTTGTCCCACTACAGGTGTAAATTAGTTTACCAATGCCAGAATGGTGTTTCTGATGATAAGTTAGTTCCACTCCACAAAACCTGATGGGTACAACAAGACTCTTTGGAAAGTTGGGATATTATTGTGTGTGTCTGAGTGGGAACAAAGGATTAAGCCAAACCAAATGGTCTTTGGAGGGCAGTACAAACCAATAGCAGATTTTGTCATATGAGTTCATTCTACTCCAAATGCTTTAGGCCAACTTCCTTAAGAATTAGCACAGTGCAAAAAATCTTTGTCCCTCCCAATAACCTACTCTTGTTCTTCTTCCTTCTTCCAGAGATGCCTTAAATAAAATGAAAGATGTTTACCAGAAGACACCACAAATGGGAGACCCAAGTAGTCTTGAGCCAAAGATTTCAGAGACTCTGGGCAACATTGAGAGATTGCACCTAGAAATCCAGAAATGTGAAGTAAGGGCTTGAGGGGGGGAAATGGTCTATCTTGTGTGTATCTAGTGTGCTTCTCCTTGCAGTTATTCAAGCATCATGCCCATATCCCAGATGTGGCTGCATCCCAAGTCAAGGATGTCCTTCCAATGACTCTGAACGAAACATTTATTATATTGTCGAATCACGGGGTTGTTGTAGGTTTTTTTAGGGCTATATGGCCATGTTCTAAAGGCGTTTTCTCTGGACGTTTCACCTGCATCTATGGCAAGCATCCTCAGAGGTAGTGAGGTCTGTTGGAACAGACCTCACTACCTCTGAGGATGCTTGCCATAGATGCAGGCGAAACGTCAGGAGAAAATGCCTTTAGAACATGGCCATATAGCCTGAAAAACCTTCAACAACCCAGTTATTTAGTGCTTGCTCAGTTTTCAAAACACTTTGCATACATATATCCAAACACATAATATGCCAATTATATTTTGTAGTCTACTGCCTATGTGTTGTCAGGTTACCCATATTTGTACCTCAGTTTGGGCAGCAGTTGTCAGTAGGAAGGAAGCTAAATACTTTCCCATCATGGTCAACTGTGTATTGCACATATGGTAATTCCTGCGCCTGCGCAGAACAGCTTTTGGAACCTTCTAGAAATTCTATTAAACATTTCTGGCTGTAGGCCCAGCCCACTCTCCCCTCTTGAGTATAAGTAGCCAGTCCTTGGGTGAACGAAGCGATCGAGCATGTGTGCTGCAGTCTACTCAGCCCACTGAACACCTCAAGAGCACTGACCACAACCCCCATCTTCATGTTGGGTGCTCACTCAGGGAACTTTATGGTTCAAGTTTTATGGTCCTGGATGAAAGCTGCCTACCAGACGCCTCAAGAGCACTGACCACAGCCCCCTATCTTCATGTTGGGAGCTCACTCAGAGAACCTTATGGTTCAAGTTTTATAGTTCAAGTTTTATGGTCCAGGATGAAAGCCTCCTATCTCATTGATTTCCTTGAAGTATTAGTGATCGAGAAAGCCTCTAGCATCTCCGAACCCTCCCTTGAAGGGACATTTGGTCTAAATTCTTTCAGGCAATACACTACGACATATTATATCAACAAGCAGAAGTGTTCACTTCTGACATTTACCCTTCATATCTGTTGATGCATTCCCAGGTGGATTCAGCTTGTTGCATACAGCTATCTATCTATCTATCTATCTATCTATCTATCTATCTATCTATCTATCTATCATCTATTTATTTATTTACAGCTTTTATATTCCTCCCTTCTCACCCCGCAGGGGACTCAGGGCAGATTACAGTGTACACATATATGGCAAACATTCAATGCCAATTTTTGACATACAAACATATACAGACATACACAGAGGCTATTTAACTTTTTCTGGCCGCCAGGGGAGCTGTCGCTTTCATCGTCCATCTGCGACTCTGATGAAACACTTCCACATTCCCCGCATACTTCCCCACTGGAATGCTTTGCTGGAGTCTTCTTTATAGCCTCATAAATCAGTTAATTTAGCCTCCCCACACTTTAAGGTGGTACCTAATTTTCCTACTTGACAGATGCAACTGTCTTTCGGGTTGCAAAGGTCGACAACAGGCTACACACAATTGGTTGGAAACCCACTCCAACCTGGCTGGCTTCGAACTCATGACCTTTTGGTCAGAGTGATCTTAATGCAGCTGACACTCAGCCAGCTGCACCATAATCCTGGTGCACAAGAGAGGCTCAAGAGCAGACTCTGGCTCAGGCTACCATTCAGTTCTATTTAATGTATGTCTTGCCTTTGGCCTAGAATGTAATTCAAGGAAATTTATAATATTTTTAGAAATTCTGCTACAACCATTATTTTATCAAACATAATCTCTAATATCAAAAGCATGCCTAAAATAGTTTAAAATACTTGAAAAACATTTAAACACCGATTACACATTCAAACAGCATAGCATCTTCAAACTGCCCTGCAGGTCATGTAATTAGAACATGTAGAGAGTTAAATCATGTCAGAACCATTTTTCCACAGCCTTCAAGAAGCTACAGCTGTGGTAAGGCTACTTGCTGCTAAATAGTCCATTCTCCCTCAACCATATCTTTGTCTCCATGTAGGCTTGGCTGGCAGATGCAGAGAACAGGATGCTGAGTAACCGGCCCGATACGGTCACACGCTACAGCCGACATTTGGATCATGCCAGTGCCCTGAACAACAACAACTGCTCCCATGAGAAGGACAGGTGAGAGCTGGTTTGGGGAATACAGGAGCTGTAGTGGCTGCGCTTGGCATCATTGGGAAAAACCCCTCTGTATGGACAGAAGAGGAGACATGCTTTAAGCACTTGAATCTCTGTATCCCTAGGTGGCACAGTGGGTTAAACCACTGGGCTGCTGAGCTTGTTGACCAAAAGGTCGCAGGTTCGAATCCGGGAAGCGGTGTGAGCTTCTGCTGTCAGCCCCAGCTTCTGCCAACCTAGCAGTTTGAAAACATGCAAATATGTGTAGATCAATAGGTACCACTCCAGCAGGAAGGTAACGGCGCTCCATACAGTCATGCCAGCCACATGACCTTGGAGATGTCTATGGACAACGCCGGCTCTTCAGCTTAGAAATGGAGATGAGCACCACACCCCAGAGTCGGACACAACTGGACTTAATGTCAGGGGACAACCTTTACCTTTACTATCCCTAGGTGGCAGTTTTGCAGGAGTTACTAGAACCAGGAAATTGACATCACTTGCATGAATTGCATTGTTTCCCATAGTGGGGCAACACATAGATCCTTAGATGGGAGCCATTTAATGTTGTTACTGTTCTTTTCCAGCCTGTGTCTATGTATACCAGGCCTCTTCAACCTGCGGCCCTCCAATTGTTTGGATCTCCAACTGACCATTGAACAAGCTGGCAAGGGCTTCTGGGAGTTGGAGGCCTATCAGCTGGGCGGCCACAGGTTGAAGAAGCCCAAATAATACTTTGGAGAGCGTGAAAGATTTTCTTTCCTCTCTAAACCCTGAATTTTAAAGTGTTGAAAGGAAACCAACAGAAAGCTCCTATGTAATACAACCCAGTTGAGGTGCTTGTTCTTTTGGAACAGAGAAGTAGGAATCATGTGACAGCACCACCACATCTCTCCCGAAATTGGAAGACTATGTCATTTTTGTTCTCCTTTGGAATATTGTCTTCTTCAGTCATCTCAAATTGTATGACCTTACAAACAGGGCCCAGATTGACAGGGCCCACTGGGCAGATATCTGTTGGATACTCTTAGCTCTATGAGGAGCAGCTTAAAGAGCTGGGCATGTTTAGCCTGAAGAAGAGAAGGCTGAGAGGAGACATGATAGCCATGTATAAGTATGTGAGAGGGAGTCATAGGGAGGAGCGAGCGAACTTGTTTTCTGCTGTCCTGGAGACTAGGATGCGGAACAATGTCTTCAAACTACAAGAAAGGAGATTCCATCTGAACATGAGGAAGAACTTCCGCAGTGGAACTCTCTGCCCGGAGTGTGGTGGAGGCTTCTTCTTTGGAAGCTTTTACACAAAGGCTGGATGGCCATCTGTCAGGGGTGCTTTGAATGCAGTTTTCCTGTTTCTTGGCAGGGGGTTGGACTGGATGGCCCACTAGGTCTCTTCCAACTCTAGGATTCTATGATTCTTCCTAAATTGAAGCCCTTTGCTCTACTCATTGTGTGGTGCTCATTGTATGGTTGAAGACAGGAACTGAAGGATGAGAACCCAATATCCACCAAAAGAAAAGTTAGATCCTTTCACATCCATCTTTCCCAAAAGGATTATTTTTTTCATATGCAAAGTGTTTGCTTCCATGTTCTCTTTCTTTGGACTTCAACTTCCAGCGTCCTTGAAATAAGACAGACTTAGAGTTATAGGTCCAAAAAAAGTAACTTTTCCAAGCTTTGGGTAGGAGCATATATGTGCAAGTGTGCACATCCGACATATAAAGAAAAGTAACTCAAGCTAGGATTAGAAAGTCATACACTAAGGAAGTATATCTTTTACATATCTATGGAAGAGCAGTGACCCATTCATCAGCAGGTTATGGGGCCAAGGAGACTCAGTTGTACTGATTTCTTACATGATGACCCCTTCCTATTTAATTATGGGGGGTAAGCATCCTTGTGTTTTTGTGCATCCTTGTTTTGGGCCTTTGCTCATGATGCACTAATTGCAACTTGTGGTGCTGAACAGATATATACTCCTCCTCTCTCAGCTCCAAAGCAGCCCAGTGTAATTTCATGATTGCCTAAATAAAACCATTTCCCACTGGAAGTTCACAATGAGGCCTGAATTTTTGGTTAACTGGAGAGCCAGTGCTGGACACCAGGCCTTCTGGTGACATCTCCCAGGACACTGGTTGTTTGGTTTGTCTTCCCCTGACAGCCCTGAGACCACTCGCTCTGACGAGAGCCAGGACACACTCAACCAGCCCATCTACACAGAGTTTGATGAGGAATTTGAAGAGGATTTGGTATCACCTGTTGGCACCTGCGTGGCCCTCTATCAGTTTGAAGGTAAGCACTCAGCAAGGTTTCCATGTTTATTTATTTGTTTGCTTGTTTGTTAATTTACAACATTCCTCCCTTCTCACCCCAAAGGGGACTCAGAGCGGCTTACAAGATTTTTTTAATATATATATATATATATACACACACACATATACATACACTATATTATTAGCATCATACAATATCAATATTATATATTACTATATTGTAATATACCATTATATTGTAATATTAATAATATTGCATGTAATGTAAAATATATAATTATATCTTATTATTATTATATTTTACTATGTTGGTGCTCCTGGACCTCTCAGCGGCCTTCGATACCGTCGACCACGGTATCCTTCTGGGGCGCCTTGCGGAAATGGGTCTTGGGGGCACTGCTCTGCAGTGGCTCCAGTCATTTCTGGGGGGCCGCACCCAGAAGGTGTTATTGGGGGACACCTGTTCAACACCACAGCCTTTGACTTGTGGGGTTCCACAGGGCTCTATACTGTCCCCCATGCTGTTTAATATCTACATGAAGCCGCTGGGTGAGATCATCCGGAGTTTCGGGGTGCGGTGTCATCTGTACGCAGATGATGTCCAACTCTGTCACTCCTTTCCACCTGCTACTAAGGAGGCTGTCGAGGTCCTGAACCGGTGCCTGGCCGCTGTAATGGTCTGGATGAGGGCGAACAAACTGACATTAAATCCAGACAAGACAGAGGTACTCCTGGTCAGTCGCAAGGCCGAACAGGGTATAGGGTTACAGCCTGTGCTGGACGGGGTCGCACTCCCCTTGAAGGCGCAGGTTCGCAGCTTGGGTGTGACCCTGGATTCATCATTGAGCCTGGATCCCCAGGTTTCGGCGGTGACCAGGGGAGCATTTGCACAGCTTAGGCTCGTGCGCCAGCTGCGCCCGTACCTTGGGAAGTCTGACTTGGCCACGGTGGTACACGCTCTGGTCACATCCCGCCTTGACTACTGCAACGCTCTCTACGTGGGGCTGCCCTTGAAGACGGCCCGGAAGCTTCAGCTAGTCCAGCGCGCGGCAGCCATGTTACTAACAGGAGCGGGACGCAGGGAGCATACAACGCCCTTGCTGTTCCAGCTCCACTGGCTGCCGATTTGCTACCGGGCCCAATTTAAGGTGCTGGTGCTATCCTACAAAGCCCTAAACGGTTCCGGCCCAAAATACCTTTCGGACCGCATCTTGGCCTATGAGCCCACGAGGACCTTGAGATCGTCTGGGGAGGCCCTTCTCTCGATCCCGCCTGCTTCACAGGCACGTCTGGCGGGGACGAGAGAAAGGGCCTTCTCGGTGGTGGCCCCCCGGCTGTGGAACGACCTCCCTGCTGACATCAGACAGGCGCCTTCCCTTCTGTCCTTCCGAAAGAGCCTGAAGACCTGGCTATTTGAGAAGGCATTCAACTGAGCGCTACGGCAACTGGTAATTGACAACTGGAACGGAATACGGATTACGATATTGGTTATGATTCTATGATGTGACGGAGCGGATTATTTAGTGTAACTAGATTATAGTGTATTATTGTTGTATTGATTCCCTGTTTTGCCCTTTTTGTAAACTGTTTTTATATGTTGTGCACCGCCGCGAGTCGCCCTAGGGCTGAGAGCGGCGGTCAATAAATGCAGTAAATAAATAAATAAATAAATAAATAAATATATGTGTGTGCGTATATATATATATATACAATATATAATATATATATTATATACAATACAATACATTATATTAATTATACTATATTACCCGGTGGTGCAGTGGGTTAAAGAGCTGAGCTTCTGAGCTTGTTGACCGAAAGGTCGCAGGTTTGATTCCGGGGAGCGGCGTGAGCTTCCACTGTCAGCCTTAGCTTCTTCCAACCTAGCAGTTCGAAAACATGCAAATGTGAGTAGATCAATAGGTACCGCTCCGGCAGGAAG